AAAATATAAAACAATTATTAGAAATGAATTTAAATAAAATAAAATATAAAATATATAAATTTAATTATTATTATTTAAAAAATTAATATAAATTTAAAAAATAATTTATAATTTAGTATACGATTTTGAGTATTTTAAATTATATAAAAAGTTTTTTATTTATTATAATTTTTATTATAATAAATAAATTAATATTATAATTTACTACTAATTTTAAATTTTTTAATTATTATTTAATTTATTAATTATTTTAGAATAATACTAGTTATTATATATATTTAAATTAAAATATAAAAATTCAATAATATTTTATAAATATGTTTTTATAATAGTTATAATTTATTTTAATTTTAGAAAAATATAAAATATAATTATTTTATTCTTATTTAAATAATGTAAAATATTTTAAATATTATTATTTTGAAATTAATATAAAATATATTTTTAATATTAATTATAATATATATAATTACTAGTAAAATTAATTAAATAATAAAAATATAAGAAACATTATTAATCTATATATTTATTATCTAGAACTCCTGTTTAATATAAAGATATACTTTATATTTATTATTAGTCTACTTATTTTTATTAATCTAGAATTTTTATTTAATTAATATTATCTTTTATTATTATATATAAAAATTAAAAATATTTTTAATTTATTTTAAAAATATTATAATTATAATTATTATTTAATTTATATTCTTAAATAAATTAAATATATAAATTTTATTATTAAATTTATTAAATATTTTAAATATTTTGAATATATAAAATAAATTATTTAAAATTATGATTATTAATATTTTAATAAATTTAATTTTTTTAATTTTAATAAAATTTAATTATAAAAAAAATATATTATTATAATATAAATCTAGAATACTTAAAATATTTATTAAATATAATCTAAAAAATTATATTATTTATTTTAAAATTATATAGTTTTTTATTTATTTAAAAAATTTATTATAATTCTTTAAGTTATATTTTATTTATAAGTCTATAGATAGCTTAATTCTGTAATAATTTAGAGATACTATAAACTATTAGTCTGTCTGCCTGCTGCTAACTCTACTATCCAGCCAGCCTGTATTTTAATATAATAGATTAGTTTAAATATATCTAAACTGAACTATATCTATCTAATACTAAAATTATTATTATATATAGAATTAAAGTATTAAAAATCTAATTATTTTATTAATAATATAATTAAGCTTTTAGTATTATTAAGTAGTATAAATAATAATAATAAAAATATTTAGAGATTATATTCTCTAGAAAAAATTAATATATTATTAAATTATAAAATAATTTATAAATAATAAAAATAATATTTTATTTATATAAGAATATAATACAGTAGATATAATATAATAAAATATTATAGTAGTCTGTAGTAGTTATAAATATAATCTTAGTTAATTAATATATATATATAAAGATACAGCTAATCAGAATATATTTATAATAAATTCTAAAAATTTTATATTTATATACTTAGAGAACTGTAAAGAATTTATATAATATCTAGTTTCTTAATAATATAATTTTAAAATATTAAACTAATCTGTTAGTATAGTTTAAAAATAATTAAAAAAATTATATTAAAAAACTAACCTAATAATAAATTAACCTAACAGAAAACTAACCCGGGCTATTATTAATATAGACAGGGATTCTAATATTATATAATTAAAGTAGTAAATTAAAAAATTCTTTACTAACCAGTACTTTTTTAAAAAGACAGAAGCCTATTATATAATCTGTCTTATCTTTTTAGACTAAAGAGAGGTATAGGTAGAAGATAAAGGGTATAAAAATAATAAATAGAAATATTATCTGATTATAACTTTATAAAAAAATAATATTTTTATAATTAATTATTTCAAAAATAAAATATATATATATTAAAAACTATAGATTATATATATAATTAATAAATAAATTATATAATTAAAATTATTTATATATATAAAATATATTATTTTTTATATTTTTATAATTATATTTTTTTAATTTTAATTATAGAGCAGAGTAATATAATTTATTATACAGTACTGTAAGGTTGTTTATTACTAGAAAATCTTAAAATATAGATTTTATAGACTGCTATATAAGTTTTGATTAATTAATAAAAAATATAAATTATATATTAGTAGTATACTATAAAATATTTTAAATATATTAAATAAATTATTAAAAAGACTATTAAATAAATTTATATAATAATTCTAAATCTTTATTTTATAAAGTGAAGCTTTATTATTTTTAAAATAAATAAATAAAAAAAATTTTTTTTTATTTTAAAAATAGATTATAAAATTTTGTTAAAAAAAACTAGAGATTTGAAAAATAGTTAACCCTCCAGTATAATTATAAATTTAAAAAAAAGTAATCTATTTAAAGATAATCTAGACCTTTATTCTGTATGTCTGAGGCGGTCCCTGGTGTCTTATCCTCTAGTAGTGTTAGTATAATATACTGATTTCCATCACAGATCTCACTTGGTTCATCACACTATCTATCTATCCTGAAATAGCAAAGCTTTACTCTGTAAAGATTTAGAGCTTCTATGTAGACCTGCTGTGTAGACCTGCTGCTGTAAACTACTTCTTAGCAGTATAAAGATTCTGCCTGATATATCTGAGATATCACATAATATACCGCTGGCTGGCAGCTAATCAGAGGCCTGACATGTGAAGGCCTGACATGTGATTTGTTTTTTTTTCGCGGACTAATCAGAAGCTGTAAAGCGGCCCACAGGGATCCATATTTCGACAATTTTCAGCAATAGACAGCCTATCGGCCTCTGCAATAAGGTGCTTTACAAGATACTTGATGTAAAACAACCTAATATAGAGTCACTCTGCGCTAAAACACTTCGCAAATAAAAGGAGTACTTAACGAGGTGTTTGGTGAGGTGCTCGACGAGGTGCTTGACAAGGGGCTTAGTGAGGTGCTTGGTGAGTTGTAAAGGAACTACTAACTAGTACTGTGGTTGACCTCGTTGATTTTGTTAGTACAGTGGAGAAGTGCAGGGATTTGAATCCTTTGAAATTCTGCTATATATATAATTATTAATACTTTATATAGCTATCTTCAGTATTAATAACTGTCTTATATTTTATCTTTATACTTTTTATTAATTCTTTTAAAAATTTCAGTAGTAAAGTATCCTAAGTAGCCTGTATAATCTCTTATAGCTGATTATATAATAATTATTTATTATTAAAAAATAATTAATTAAACTAATTCTTTATCTAATTCTATATAGTCTTAATTAGATTAAAATTAAATAAAAAATTAATTAATTAATTAATTAAAAAAATCTTATATTTTTAAAGATTTTAGATTATATTTTTATTTATATATTTAAATATATTATTTTATATTAATTAAAATTATAATTATTTATTATATTTGATAAGATATATATAATTATTAATTATTAAAATAATTTATTTATAATAATATTTAATATTAATACTTATCTAGTTCTTTTTTTAATAAAAATATAGTTTTTTATAATTTTTATAAAACAATGTTTAAAACATCTAGCTATATTTATATAATAGATTTACATAAAAATGTATTTTATTAAATTTTTTACCAGTTTTATAAATTATATAAATCTATTTATAAAAATTTAAGATTATCTATATTTTATTAGTTTAAAAAAATTAATTCTATTAATTATATATTTAATTTAAATATTTAAAAATATAGACTAATTTTATTTATTTATTAATTAAAAAAAATAGTGTATAAAATATTTTAAACTAAAAATAAGTTTTTTTAAAATATATATTAAAGTAGTTACTTTAATAAAAAACTTAAATTCTTTAATAATATAGTAGTAAAATAAATAGTATATATATTTTAAATTAAAGATTTATTAAATAATTTTTTTAATTTTTAGATTTAATAATCTTATTTTAATATTTTTAGTTTTTTTAAAAAATAATTTATTAATTTTAATATATATACTGAATTTAATAATAACTAATTTAAAATTGATTTATAATTTATTAATATATTAAACTAGTATTTTAAAAAATAAGAACTTATAAATAATTATCTTATTTAAAATATTTTAAATTTATTATTTTAAAAGAGATAAACTCAGATATTAAAAAATATTTTTAAAATAATAAAAATTAATATGTTTTAATAATTTTAATATATTTACAGCTTCAGGAATTTAATATATAGCTGGATAGAGAAGACGGTGTAGGATAAGAGACACGCTGCTTAAAGGATTTAAATCCCTGCACCTCTCCACCATACTAACAAAGTCAACGAGGTCAACCACAGTAGGATGCTCTATAAGATTTACATACATGGCTTTAGTGCTTCCCGTAGAAATTGCGCTTCGGAATGCCTTAGGCTGGAACTCCGCAGGCCAGAACCTAGTAACCTTTAAGCATGATCTAGTAACTAATAGGTAGCCTACTTAGAGATGTGAGATATATAAGAGTTTAATAATACTAGGTCTTGGCTTGCGGAGTCCCAGCCCAAGGTGTTGCGAAGCATCTTTTCTACAGGAAGCACTAAAGCCACATACGCAAATTTTATAGAGCACCTTGATAAGCCCCTTGGCTAAGCATCTCATCAAGCACCTCGTCAAGCACCTGGTCTGCTAGTAGAAGACGGAGTAGGAGAATATGGTAGAATAGAACACGTGACAACAAAAACAAAAAGCCAATAAGAACGCCAGCCCTTGTCAAAATTGTGGACCAATCAGACCAGGGATGGCAGGACTTCCGCAGCCAGGACCTGCCATAAATTTGCTTCGCGCTTCGCAAATAAATCTCCCCTCGAGCGGAGCAAGGGTCAACACAGCTAGTAGACTATAATAGATTATAGCCACCACTACTCCGTACTCCCACACTATACAAAAAACAGAGGAGAGACATTACATATAAAGTAGCTAGGTATTATCAACATAAATTAAAAAAAGAAAAGGGAAAAAAAGAATACCCATATATTAGCATGTCCTGGTTTCGATCCAGGGACCTGGTAACTGTTAGTTATGAAGTTTCAAGGAGTTGCATAGTAAGACATACCTCCGGGTTATGAGCCCGGCGCTCTTCCCCTGAGCTAACATGCTTGTCGGGTCTGAGATTCAGACAAGTTTATTTATATAGGCCATAAACTGTTTCTATCAGTTCTTACCATTATAGGCTTGGTTTTCAAGATTCTATATTTTAGTCTTTGACGGATGATTTTTTTTATCTCTAAAACGTCTTCAAACATCTCCATACTACAGTTTAGCATAGGGCCATGCATCACAGGTACTAATATAACAGGTATGGAACCAGCAAACCAGCGGTTTTAGACCCTGACACCAACAAAGTGTCTACATCAGTGTGAAACACCTAACTGCATTGATGGGTAGTCACAAAAAAAGCACCTAAATTGAGGTTGAATGATCCAAGGCTGGTCATCAGTAAAGCCTGATACCATTATATAGGTATGCATTTAAGTGTACACATTTTTACGCGATGACTTATCGCATGGAACTATCCCTTTCACATACCATCTTGTCTTAAATGATCGGCTTTCATCCAAGAAAAACTCTTTCAATACATCAACTATGGAGTTCGTTCATCTTTTTCACATTCAGGAGCCCTCTTGTCTTCAGCCAAACATAAAACTCTCCATGAATATCACAGCCCCGAATTGACACAGCTTATCGACTTGCTGGGTCCTGAGGCTCCGCCATCTGAGCATAAGCATGTGGGTGACGATGCTCAGTCAGATGCAATTGAAGGAATACCATGTCATCTTTTCTTAGGTCCAAACCGAGTGACTTCGAGATTGTGAAACGAAACATGCCACATGATAGCTCGACAAGCCCTCCATGATGTGATACCCGAACCGGTGTTTTGGTCTCCGATAAATATCCCTTTACATTATCATATTTTTTAATCTCCTAGGTTCTTTATGAGTGCAAGTGTCTTTTCAAATGAAGTTCTTGATAATAGGCCCGAAGAACCGGGTCGGGGGAGTTCCGAATATCGTTGAATGAATCCCTTGCATTTTGGGCCCAGTGACGGATGGTTGAATCATCTGAGAAGAGGTATTGCTGGAAGAAACCCTCCCGCCATATGCGTCTTGAGCCGCAATTTGCTCCTCATTTCCAGTAAATCCTTGCCATAAAGGAAGAGCAACATTGAGGTGGTTTCCGGACCATAGTATCTTTGCATCTTTTGGTAGAAACTCCTTGAGTCGCAATGATGTCAATGTCTGAAAAATCAATGCCATCCACATCTCCTGCATGTTCAGAAGAAGTTGGGCGGCTGGAGAAGCCGGTGCACTATGAACTGCAAGTGTTACAAAGACTGATTCTATATCTGATGTAGAATCCCAGACATGGTAATGGAGAGATGGGTTCCGTTGCCGGCGATAGGGATCATTATGTGTTCTGATCTTCTCACTAAGCTTTACTGCCTGTCCAACATACAACCAGAAGCTTTGAGGCCTGCATCGTCTCCATAGTATATGAAGATATACTCCACAGTCATTAGAGTGCTCGGGATTCTGACCGATAGCCATTATCCTGCCCACTTGATTTAGCTAATATTATCAATACGAGGGCATTAGGACCATACTCGGCCAGAGTAAACTTTCCAATTTCACAGATATCTTTCACAGCGGGATTCAACCCCTCTTCCAATAATGTCAAGGTATTCTGCATCTCCAAGAGTGGTGTATATCTGTCTTTGTATTTTATCTTTATCTTTTTTTTAACTGTAAAATTTACTGGAACTTAATAATTAATCTATCTTATAATTTACCGGGTACTTAATCTTTATTAAATAATTAAGAGTTTTATTCAGTACTGTAATTATAATAATATTAATTATTTTTATTTTATTATAATTAAATAAAAATAAATAAAATATTTTTTTAAATTTTTATATCTTTTTTTTCTTTTTATATTTTATTTATTTAAAAATAATAGATTTATTATTTATAAGATCTATAATATTTATAATAATTATTTTAATTATTTATATTATTTAATTAACTGACTGGTAAGAAAGTAGATATTCTAAAAAAAAAAAGATTCTTAAAGACTTATAATATATATATTAAAAATATTAAAAATATTATTATTATATTTATTAGATAAAAGATTATATTTATATAATTATAATTATTTTAGATCTGATATTAAAATTTAAAAAATTTAAAAAGAATATTTAATTAAATAATAATAGTAACTAGTATTATAAGTACTAAACTATTTTTAAAAAAATATTTTATTTTTATTATAATTAGAATCCGGCTATTAATATATTATTAATTATCTTCAGATTATTATTAAATCTGAATAAAATCTTTTATAATATTTTTAAATACTAGAAACTCTTATCAGCAGCTGAAATATTTAAAAAATTTAAAATATATTTAAATATTAAAGATATATAATTTATAAAAATATTTTTAATTAAATTAATACTATTTTAAATATTATAAAATATATTAATATTTTTATTTACTAAAAGTTTTATTATAATTAGTTTTTTATTTTTTATTAAATAGCTAGAGATTTTTTTTTAGTTAGTATTAATAATATTAATATTAAATATTTATTTAATAATTTTTAAAATATCTACTATTATTACTAGAGCTGTTTTTATTTTAATATAATTAAAATAGTAATATTTTAGATATATACTAATTATTTTACTATTAATAAAAAATATTAGAATATTTTTAATAATCTTAATCCAGATTTAATTATTTTTATATTTAAAAAATAAAA